ATATATTTGAAAATGTTGGTATTGTCCAAATAACCCTTCTGGTATTCCAATTGGTTTATATAGTGTAAAACTCCTGTTCCAAATGACTCCATTGGTTACTGTATGTCTACTGTAAGTGACTGTAGTGTAATAGAGCTGAAGGTTAAGGCTCTGATCCTGCCTACCTCACAGCCTTGGATGTGTAAACAGAGGGAATGTTGAACATGATGCAACGCTGGAAACACAGGACACTCCAATGGCAAACGTGATTTTGAGAGTGCGGGTAATCAATTCATCATTTTGATGTTGCTCCATCATTTCCTCCTCCAGGGAATTCCGCCAAGCCTTAGAATAAACACAAGCAGCGTTTACGCTCAAAGGGAAAGGACGAGGGCCGACATACTGTTAATGTTTACTCTACTATGACTGGGTAGTTGGACGACCCCTAAACTCTCTCCATAACCTCCACTTCACTCCTCTCGGACATACCTCCCTCCATCCCCTCCCTCACTCCATCCTTCCATTCCTGCCTCAGAGTGCGTGATTCGAGTAGGGCATCCTATCTGGCCAATTGTTATGGTAACCCTAACTCACCCCCCCCAACTCCATAATTTCCCCCCCTACCCCCTCTCCCCACATGCCCCTTATGCATCTATGTACGTCAAAGAGCGAGTGAGTGTGTTAATGTTTTTTGGGAAAAAGAGAATGAAGTAGTGACACACAGGGGGAGGATAGTCATTGGGCAATAAAGTGACGTCTCTCACTCTCTCTTTCTCACAGTCAGTGATCATGGTTAATATGCTGTTGTCTTCCATCCAAGAGATATACGACAATCCCCCCCCCCCACCGCCTACTCCCCCCATCCACCCCCCTTCACCCCTGGCTAGTTTAGTTAGGAAAACTCCCCACAGATGGGATTTACAAATTATGCGTGTCAATTACTCTCTTCCTTTCCATTTGGCTCTCTCTGCCTTCTAAATGCAGATATGGCTGTGTTGTGTTGTGTTGTGTTGTCCTGTGTTGTGTTGTGTTGTCCTGTGTTGTCCTGTGTTGTGTTATCCTGTGTTGTCCTGTGTTGTGTTGTCCTGTGTTGTGTTGTGTTGCCTTGTGTTGTCCTGTGTTGTCCTGTGTTGTGTTATGTTGTCCTGTGTTGTGTTGTCTTGTGTTGTCCTGTGTTGTGTTGTGTTGTCCTGTGTTGTCTTGTGTTGTGTTGCCTTGTGTTGTCTTGTGTTGTGTTGTCCTGTGTTGTGTTGTCCTGTGTTGTCTTGTGTTGTGTTGCCTTGTGTTGTGTTGTGCTGTGTTGTGCTGTGTTGTGCTGTCCTGTGTTGTGCTGTCCTGTGTTGTCCTGTGTTTGGTTGTCTTGTGTTGTCCTGTGTTGTGTTGTGTGTTTGTCCTGTGTTTGTGTTGTCCTGTGTTGTGTTGTCCTGTGTTTGGTTGTCTTGTGTTGTCCTGTGTTGTGTTGTGTTGTCCTGTTTGTGTTGTGTTGTCCTGTATTGTGTTGTGTTGTCCTGTATTGTGTTGTGTTGTCCTGTATTGTGTTATGTTGCCCTGTGTTGTGTTGTCCTGTATTGTGTTGTGTTATCCTGTATTGTGTTGTCCTGTGTTGTGTTGTCCTGTATTGTGTTGTCCTGTGTTTGGTGTTGTCCTGTATTGTGTTGTGTTGTCCTGTATTGTGTTGTGTTGTGTTGTGATATGGTGCATCTACTCTGCTCCCTTTCATTGGCTCATTAGAAGAGGAAATTAACCAGCATCATTATTACAGTTCTCCTCTACAGTT